TACTGTAACATTTCAGAGTGCCCTATGCTTCCCTGTGCATTTCTGAAGTTAACGATGTGGCTGAGGGAAGTCAGCCAGAAGTAGAGCACCTGCGGACTCAGGATCTCCTAGATGTGCAAAGTGGGAAGACAAGGGCCGTGTCAAAATGAGGCATTCACTGTCTGCGTGGAGGCCATCAGAGACAAAGCCAGCTAGCGTCCAGAGCACACAACTTATTCTCATGCTTTGTGCATTTGGAAAGAGAGATCACAACTGGAAACATGTCTAAATGTTACTTCTCAGCCACAGTATGACCTTGGAAAGAATCGATGGGAAAGAAAATCATGAAAAGGAAATCTAGAAGCAAAGGAGTAGAGCCCAAAAGAGAATTTAAATGTTTTCCAATCAGTAATTGGTAAAGTCTGAGTACTAATAGATTTGTTTTAAAAGGGAAAGCAATTCCATAAACTCAAGTCATGTTGAAGCTGAAAACTTAAAGATGCATTCATTTAGTTCCTCCTTCCCTCCTTCAACAGTGGATGTTTGAGATCAGCTAAATGGCCTTCATAGACCAATTTACAGATAAGTGACATTTTAGCCTCCTTCAGGGTAAATGTCTCTGTGACATCCTTTGCATTCTAATTGGTGTTACTAAACTCCAAGGAATTGCCCACTGATCAGTAAAGCTTTTTCTTAGAATTAAACCAAAGCTGATTAGCTTCAGCTTCTACTGGACTCCATATGAGAGACTCCTTACAAAAAGAGACAAAGTATGAATCCAGTTTTCTTTTGTGTTTATTTCCAGTCCTTCTGGGGGGTTCAAATGAGGCCTCAATAACCACTGTAACACAAGTGTTTTGTCTGGGAAGCTTGAAGAACTCGGAAGTGACTGTGCTTCTCCCACTCTCAGTTCAAGTACGGTATTCTGGTCCTGGCAGCACAGAAGCAGCAGGTGTGTGCTGAGGAACAGCTGGCTACCAGTCCTGGCCAGAGAAGAAGCTTCTTCACAACAGTAGGACGTTTCAGTATCACTTAGCCTGTCCAAGAGAACCTATTTTTGTTCATATCCATGCCCTGGTAGTAGAGTTCAAACTTATTTTGGGTTTGCTGATGACCATACCATCAAGAGGATGTCAGTGCAGGAAGCCAAGAAGCTACCACCTGTGCAGTGTTTTTATCTCAAGAATTGTTTAGAAGGCTGATTACTCAGTTAGCTGTACCTCTTTGATCTTCTAGTGTTACACTGAGAAAGATGACTAACACTTTCTTGAAAATCACTTTGCTTTTAATAACCCATATAATTCTGTCAATCTATGGTAAGGGTCAAAGGATTGGCCAACTTGCACTATTAAGTATCGACCCCACAATGCTTTATATGTGGTAGGGACACCATGAATGATCGTTCCTGGTGAACAGAAAGTTGCTCTCCAGAGTGATGTGCTGGCAGACTTTAACAACCAGCTCTCTAAGGATAAACTACCTGATTTGTAGCATTTGCTGATTTCCATAGCAGAATATTAAGAACAACTTTATAAACTCAAAAATTTAGATGAAATGGAGAAAATCTATAAAAGGCAAAAATGACTAAAAGTAACTCAAGAAAAAATAGAAAACCTGAAACCTCTATATCTATTAAAGAAATTGAATTCACAATTAAATCTTCTCACAAGAAAACTTGTAAGTCCAGATGATGCCACTGGAGAAGTATATCAAATAGGTAAGGAAGAAATAATACCAACCTTGCACAAAGTCCTTCACAAAATAGAGGAGAGAACACTTCCCACTTTATTTTTTGAGGCCAGCATTATCCTGTAACCAATATTAGAAAATGATGTTATGAGAAAAAACAAAAACTAACTAGACGTTGATATACTTTATGAATAAAGATGGAAAAAATTCCTTAAAATATCAGCAAGTCGAATCCAATAATATATAAAATATTATAAAATTAAAAATTAAAATAATTAAATAAAAAAAGATCATCATAATGACCAGGAATTAAAGGTTGGTTTAACATTAAAAATCAATTGCTGTCATTCATCATATTAACAGAATAAAGGAGAAAAAAATATATGGTCACCTGAAGATATGCAGCAAAGCTATCTGAAAAAATTCAGCACTCAGTCATTATATACATAAATTAAGAATAGGAGAGATTTTCCTCAACTTGATAAAAGACACCTAAGAAAGACCTGCAATTAATATTAAACTGAAATGTTGAGAAACTGAACACTTTCCCTAAGTAGGGAAGAAGACAAAGATGCTCACTCTTCATCACTTCTGGTCAACATTGTGCAATAAGAAAAGAAAAAGAACGAAAAGGCACACAAATTGTAAAGAAAGAAGAAAAACTGTCTTCATTTGTAGATCGTGTACATATAAAAACCAAAAATAATTTATAACATAACCACTCAAATGACTAAGTGAATTTAGCAAAGATACAGGATACCACGTCAATATACAAAAAATCATTTGTGTTTTTATATGCTAGCAAACAAAGAATGTAAAAAAAAAATTTAATGCTATCTACAATAGCAGAAAAAACATAAAATGCTTAGTGGTAGACTTAAAATATGTGCAAGAGCTGTCACTGAAGACTACGAACATTGAGAAATTACAGATCTTAATAAATGGAGACATAAATTATGTTCATAGGTTAGAAGGCTCAATACTGTTAAGATGTCTTTTCTCCTCATATTGAATATACTGATTCAGTACAGTCATAATCAGAATTCTAGGGGGATGTTTTTGTAGAAATTCACAAGCTGAGATTCTGAAATTTAAATGAAAATGCCAAGGACTTAAAATAGCCAAAACAATATTGGAAAAGAAGAGCAGAAGCATATGGTAAGCAGGAATCTAAGACGGCCCAAAGATTCTGCCCCCTGCTACACAGGCCTGTATAATCCCCTCCCCTTGAGTATGGAAGGGGACTTGTGACTGTGATGGGATGTCGCTGTCATGATTAAATTACACTATGTGGCAAAGGTAAAGGGATTCTACTGATGGCTCCATCCAGGATTGAAACGGTTTCATGCCTGTGTATGGACACCCAGGCCACATGTAAAACTTTGGTTCTCATCCTACAAGAATAAATACCCCTTAACCATCTCTCTGGTCAAGGGATACAAACATTTATTGCACAGTCAGTCTTCCAGGGTCAGACCCGAGAAGGAGACCCACACAGGCCCTGAGGCATACTTGTGTCTACTTAGGCAGGAAATTCCAGGGTCATGGTTTCCCAGGATGTGGTTTAGAAGGGGAGGGGGTGCAGGCTCTGGGTAGACCAGCCACTTGGACCTGGGATTGCCTCACTCCATGGCGAGGGAGGAGGTTCCAGGTGGCTGGAGCAGAGCCTTCCAAAGCAGGACATCTCAAACATTTATGTGCATAGGAATGACCTCAGGATCTTATTAAAATACAGGATCAGAACATGTCAGGCTGGGACCTAGCATTCTGCACATCTAAAAAGCTCTCAGGTGGCGTGGGTGCTGCTGACCCATGGGACCACACTTTGTGTAACAAGGCTGTAAAGCATGGAGCCCACCCAGGTCTGAGGGCAGGGAACACTGATATTCAATACACATGAAGTTAGTAGTGGAATGAACAAACCCAAATTGCGGATAATTCAAAAATTATTTGTTGTACTTGGAAAGATCCTGACGATAGTTAACCTTAAGCTAATAATAGATGTTTTTTTCTTTTTTCCTCTTGTGCATTTATCCACTGGGTGAAAATAGTTGCCCCAAAAGCAGGATAAATAACTGGGGACCCTAATCTGGTATTAAAACTACGTGTGTTATCTACAGTTGCCTATTGTAATTATCATTCAATGTGTTTTATGAATCAGGGAATGTTCATAACATCCTGGGTTTTAAGGGTGAATTTTTTTTCGGGCTAAGACTATCCGTGTGATAACTGACGTACTTCTAAAAGAACTTTGGAATCCTTCTGATTACTAGCCTTGAGCTATAAACACCAGGAGTTTTATAAAAAGTGGCAATAAAATTTATATTATTAATAAAATGTCAGGGCATGGATGACTTACAAGAAATGAGATAAAATTGTTTCTGTTTAACATTCATGCCACATTTTATCATTCCATAGTATTTATTATTTTGACACGTAACTCTGAAGAGACTATGAGACCTCCCTCTGGGATGGTTCATTCCCTTTTCTACATGCTACATTTATAGACTATCTACAAAAGCATTCATTTTTTTAAAAATAATTCTATGGTGAAGGTTAAGTCCTTGGGCCATTCATTTCTTTATTTTATCGGAGCTTCTTCTCTCACCATTAGTTTGAGGAAAGATAAGATAATAAATTGAGTACTCTCCTCGCTTTTTTTGATGATGTTGCTGATGGGTCAAAATAAACCTCTGGAATCCAGATGAATTTATGAATTATTCATAAATTAGGAATCTTCCTTAACTGTTTGTACACTCTGCTTCTCCGTGTCGCTAAAGCCCCCGCTTAGGCTATATAAATTAATACATGTGCTGGAATTGTGACTTTGGGACATTTTATAGTAGTGATTTCAATGCTGTGAGTGATGCAATAGAAACTTGAGAACGTGAAGATTAATTTAAACCACATGATGGGTTCAAGGAAAATACACTACAGCTTCTTGAATGTGTTCTAACGCTGTACAGTGGGGAATGGGATCCAAAAAACCACCAATGAACTTTTAAACCCTCTTGAGAGGAATCAAACCAACACGCTTAGCCCTGGAAGGGAGCTGTTCCAGATGTCAGAGAGGCCATCTCTCTCTCCCTCACAAACAGAGCCCTTCGCCTGAGAGAACACAGTTGGGAGATCAAGGAAAGAGGAGGGACCCCAACAGTTACCACTAATGGGATGAAGTTAGAACAACCTTTGCAGTTATTAGCTGGCTTACTGATTTGTCTTTCATTATAAATTATAGTTTTGTTGGGTTCTTTGAACAATAGATAACCAACAAATTGTATCCTGTGGACAGTTGGTGCCTTTGAAATAAAGGATCTCTTTTTCCCTTCCAGTTCGTTGTAGCGGTGTTCTGGATCATTTATGCCTATGACAGAGAGATGATTTACCCGAAGTTGCTTGATAATTTTATCCCAGGGTGGCTGAATCATGGAATGGTAAGTGGACTAAAACAAATGATTTCCTTTTATTTAAAAAAAAATCTACTAAAGAGCTGTTTTCTAATTTAGACTGCCCGCAGAATCTACCTAAATAGCTGTGAATTGAAAATTATAATGAGAGAGTACAGTTAGAGAAGAAAACTGAACATATATAAAAAATGTCTTCTCATGAAATTGAGTCACCATTAAAACTACATAGTAGATGAATCCACAGTTTATAAGAGGTGTCAGTGGTGTTCCGTGTAATACAATTGGCTCACTCCAGGACAGATTTAATTTCTGTGCCATTCAAAGGCTTGTCCCCTGTTGGAGACTAAGGATTGATTCCCACCTGCACCACTACGGACACCCCATGCCTCCTCCGCTTCCCATCAGTGAGATTGTGTTGAAAGTAACCAGTGTACTTGGAGAATTTCCCCTGGAGGAGAGGCAGGGCTGTTACTTTCCCTGGGAGAGTCACAGGCGTTGGAGGTGTCCTTAGCAGTGGTCGTCCACCTTGTCAGGGTCTGCCCATCCCAGGATATTTGCCTGCAGCTTCGAGGTCTTTTCCTTCTTCTCAGTCTAATTCTTTCGGATGCTTTAGCAATGATGTTACCTTCACAAGTTTCAGATCAAATACTTTGGCTGGTTTGCACATTGCTTGACAAGATTTGAGGGTATATTTTCTGCAGAGAAATTTTGTGTCGTCTTCCCTTTCCATCTCTGGAATTGAGCACTGTTTTAACTTAGTTAACTAATTAACTAAGAAGCCTGCATTTTTTGGTTACATCAATTTTTAGAATGTGTCCCTGGGTGCTCCTAGTGAAAAGGGCAACCCATGACAGAAATTATAGGGGAATGAAGAACTGGAAATCACGCATCCGAGGTCCAAAGCAAGTGTTTCCCTTCTGCCCCCAATTTTGGTATATTTTAAGAAAATGCTGTGTAGTAACAAACAAACATTATTGTACTGAGGGCCATTGATCAAACCTTTTGTAAGCCAACGCCTCAAAAGTAGCACATCTCAGAGAACTGGAATTTTCCTTGAGTCCAATTAGAGCCACACTGTAGAATGATTAACATGGCACCTCAGGTCTAGCTATAAACAAAACTGTTGGGTCTTGTCAATTAAATTTAACCAGGAGCCTGACATGGTTACTCTGCCTCTCTCCAACTTTTTGCTTTTCTTGAATGTGGAAATGCTTTCATAACTCCCAAGTCTTTGCAATCCTCTGCCCCCAATGCCCTTCCCATTCTTCACTGGGAAACTCTTGCTTATCCTGCCAGCTTGTATACTGTCTTCTTCATGGAGCCTTTCCCCACTTTTACAAGCCGAGTTTGCTCTGCTGTTAGCTGTGCTGGCCCCGCACTTTCATTTCTCCATGGTACATGTCCGCAAAAATGTTATACAGCTAGTGCAAAATGGCAGCCTTCGAATCCTGCGTCTCTGCCCAGCCACCTGGCATATAGGAAGAGCAGTACCTAATCATTAGATTGATGACTAATGCAGTACAGCCAGTCCCCATAATTCTTTGCCAGTCAATACTAATAACTACTATTTTTCGATAACCTACTGTGTGCCAGGCTATGTAATTTAATTTTCATAGTGGTTCTACGAACAAGAAATTATTATCCCTTTTACAGATGAAGAAACTGAGGCTTAGAAGGTTTCTGACACCAGAAGGGCCTTAGCTGAGAACAAATGATTACATCATGTGCTATAGAAGAAGAGTCCTGGGCAATCTGGCCTGTTGTCTACATCCCTAAACTGTACAGTGTTACCTTCTGGTTAGAGAATAAATCACAATCTTTGCAGATCTTGGCACCATCTAATGTTGCGAATGAATGGTTTATTAAGTTTGTATGAAGTTATTAGAACTTCAGCTGGACGCTCCTAATTTTCCCTTGATTCACTTTGATGGGTTAAAATTCTCACTCTTGGAGAAAAACACTACTTAGAAATGCAAGGAGGATTTGAGTGACAGAAATATTTAGGAAACGGAAAAATAAATTAACGAACATGTCAAGTCCTCTCAGATAATATGAGCTCAATAGGCTTCTTTCCCAATGAATTTTGTCTTAGAAAAGCTGAATGACCATTTCTTGGCTTTTTTTCATGTTCCAATTCATGGTTCCAGAATTACTAACAAAGAAGTGGCATTTGATGGCTGAGGAATATTTTGCAATATTAAACAATTTGCATTACTCTAAATATGTATATGTGAAACTTTAAATACATCATGCATAAAACATGGTGCTGATGCTTTGGATTGGCAATTAAAATATGAACATTCAGTGCTGCAATCATGAATAATTTAATCTTTATAAAAAATGTGAATATGATTTACGAAACATCAAAAAATTAAATCAGCATTTTCAGCTTTTTAAAAATTGTATTTAATTAATTATAGTTTGTATTTGCCTTTAATTTTAATAGCTACTTCTGAATATCTAATTTTAAAGTATGAAAATAATTCATTAAAATTTTTACATTTATTTAATGTTCATATTTTGATGAAAGCACTCAAGTTTTATACACTTTAATTATAATTAAATTTTATTTTTAATTGATATTTTAGATTAATACTGTCAGTAGAGCTCCAGTTTTATAAGAATTTCCATTATAAAAACATATTTAGTGAATTTGCTGAAATGAAGGCAAGAAAATAAAATTTGGGGATATTTATATTATACTAAATATTTACATTTGTAATTTATAACTTTTACTACTCATCCAATCATATTTTTTATTTTGTTTTACAAAAATATATCTAAGAATGTAGGAGGATAGAACATATTTTATTTAATACTGTCTAGTTTAATTTGTAACCGTCAAATATTTCTGCAAATGGTTTACGGCTCTCTAGGCCTGCTCACTATCATTGCCTGCTTAGATCTTTATAACTACAAGAATTCCAAGAGAGAATGTACTCTGTTCTTACGTATAGAATCATATTCATTGTTTGAAGAATCTCAACATAATTTCTAGGGATCCAGAGCCCTGAACCGCAGAACTGAGATGCAGTGTGTAAGTCTATCATGACACCATTTCAGGAGAATCATCAAGTCAGTCTTGAATTTGCAGCATTCAAACAGGCATAAGAGAAAACTTACAGGGTCTGAAATCCACAGGGGTTTCAATTTTGATTTACACTAAAGTTGCCAAAAGTTAGACATGATTATAACTAAAGGAAAATATCCTATCTCTTTCTTTCCATTGTCTTCCTCTTTTCTCTCAGCAAGCAATCCTAGAATTTATTTGCAGAAGGGAAGAGGAAATGGGTGACTAGAAGGGTAATACACCCTTGCTGTGTAAACACTAGCTTATCTCCAGGCTGCATTAAAATAGCACACACCCACACACCCTCCACACAAAGAATTTTAATTTACTACAACTAAAAATACAAACATATAAAGTATAGCACATTTATTTATTTGTTTGTTTATTTATTTATTTGATTTTGGCTGCATTGGGTCTTCACTGCTGCGCATGGGCTTTCTCTAGTTGCGGCGAGCGGGGGCTACTCTTCATGGCGGTGCCCGGGCTTCTCATTGTGGTGGCTTCTCTTGTTGCAGAGCACAGGCTCTAGGCGCAAGAGCTTCAGCAGTTTTGACACGCAGGCTCAGTAGTTGTGGCTCGCGGGCTCTAGAGTGCAGGCTCAGTAGTTGTGGCGCACAGGCTTAGTTGCTCCGTGGCATGTGGGATCTTCCCAGACCAGGGCTCGAAGCCCATGTCCCCTGCATTGGCAGGTGGATTCTTAAACACTGCACCACCAGGGAAGCTCCAGTATAGCACATTTAAATGGAGTCAGTTCAATATCCAAAATCAAAACTTGTTCTGTCCTTGCAAACCTATTTATCTTTGCATTCCCAGAAATTCAAACAGCATACCTGCCCATTAGGTATTCACTAAGTGTTGATAATGTAAAGGATGTTTGTGTAGTTGCTTTTGAAACTTAGAAGAATGTCAAGTTTACATTTATTTCTTTCTATCACCTTTTATTCTCAGTCCACTGAGAATCAGACAAAAGAAAAACAGAAGTGATATCAGCAAATGAATCAGAGTTTCCAAAATGTAATGAGAGTGGTCACAGATAGTTGTGGTAGGATTCCGCATGGCTGCCACATATGCGGGCTGAGCTTTGGTTTAATTCAATCTAGCAAACATTTTTTGAAAACCCACCACATGCAAAGCACCCTGGTAGGCACTGTGTAGTTACAGGATGAGAAAAACACATGCAGTTTTAAAGGATGGGAAGGGCATGTTTGAAGTGGATGAAGGTAAGTAAGAAAACAGTTTCCCAGACCAACAGACTGTTCACTCGGGCAAGGAGAAGCACTGTTGTTACTCTGGCTTGTTTCTTAGTTGCAAAAGTAGAACTGTGAACATTTCTCTAATGCTGATTATAATTTTAAAGCATTGTCAATGGAGTAAATACACTTTAAAAGCAATAAGTAAATAAATATTTAAACTCTAGAAAGATTGCAGACTCTCAGTGATGCTATAACAGGAAAAAACCAACAAGACAGTCTCAGCTTATTGAAGACCTAAGTAATGTTTATAAAGTGCTTTTGAGAGTGCCAAGCACGGCAGAAGGTTAGGATATTATTATTATCCCACAGATCTTTAAGCAGACATGACCTAGATGCTCTTCTAATCACAACAGGAGTTATTCATTCCCCATATAATTTATCAGGAGACAAAAAAATAAATCCCACCTCTCATCATGCTTGATTTGTCAGTTGTTCTTGTTATATGTAACTGATCCTCAAGAGAACCTTAATTTAGGCAAATGTTTATTCTGTTCAATATTACTTTGACATTTGGTAATTACCAAAGTTTTTGTACATCTGTCTTTCCCAGAAAAGAAGGCATTAAATACTGCTTGGATGATCATTGGTTTTGCAGGAACTCAAATTAGACATTATTCTTTTGGTAAATAATACAACTTATAGAAATTTTCCTTTTCTGGGATAAAAAGATTATGCATTTCATGACCCATGGAGTCTGCCACCCT